CATCATCGACAGAGGTTCGGTCATTTTTAAAACGTGAATGCCACACAAAAGTTTGCGGACTCCCCAAATGCTTGCTTTAGCATTTCATAGGTTTCCGTAGCCGTTTTGGCGAGTCTTTGGCAAAATTTGATGCACACGCCATTCCGAAATCGCAGGAGGGTCGGTGTAATGCACTACCAAAACGCCCGTAACTAAGAAACAAATGCTAATTCGATGATACCGGCTGGCACACTGATTCACTATGAATGTAGGCCGCACCCCCTAGCGGCAGAAGCTCGTACTACATCCGGTTCGCCCTCTATTGACACAGTCTTGAAACTTACCGATCGCATTTCGTATATGGCCTAATCATTTCATCCTTACTGATTGATCATCATGATAATATTTGGTGAAGAGAATAAATTATGAAGCTCCTCATTTTGTAAATACTCTGCTCAACATTTTTTTTTGTTCTTTACTCAGGATGAGGGACCTAGTTTCTCATTCATACAAAACAAACGGTAAAACATTTGGACAGTGGATGGAAAGCGAAAGAAATTATGAACTGAGTGATAGCAATCATTCTTTCATTTATAGTTGTTTTGGCTTAAAAGTGACTAATTACATTTTATTGTTTGCAGACATCCTGTGTTCAAAATCCATTACTTCATGGCAGTACTCGTTTATCTGAAGTCATTATCACTAATGTTCCATGGAATTAACTACCACTTTATTCAGACCAAGGGAGAACACATAGCAGCTTGGGCCATCCTATACTACGTTGCACACCTGTGAGTTATCAGTATTAAATTGCTTATTGTTTGCATCAACATCAGTACAAATCTAATATGCCATCAAGGTTTCCCATGCTTGTGTGGTAATATCCTGGTGGCTAAAGTCTTCTAGGGCTTTAATCATTGCACGGAGAAGCTGAGTGTGATTGTCTGAGCAAGAGGTCTTATCCCTAGATCATCAGGCACATGTGTAAGCTTTGGTCAGAAGTTCTGTAGACATTTTGTATGACTTTGTTTTATTCTTGCATCTAGTACAGCTTAATTCTCTGCATTGAATTGAATATAATACGTTGTTCTCCCTAGTCTCATCATATAAAATACTTATTTCTTATTGAGGTCTTTGTGTTACTGCAGTTTGTTCTGTATAGTGCTCTTATGTAAAACTTCCTAATTGCAGATTTCTGTCTTCTGGGTTGTTGTGCTGTGTAGTCTGGTCGATGTTAACCAACGTTTCAGAGGTCATACTGCCTCCGTCATCAGGCAGTATGACCTCTGAAACGTTGGTTAACATCGACCAGACTACACAACGCAACAACCCAGAAGACAAATCTTCATACTCATCGCTGTGAAAACCTCAAATCTTACATTCCTAATTGCAGATTGAAAGGTGCAGTGTTGTTCATCACTATTGTTCTTGTTGGTACTGGATGGACTTTTATTAAACACATCTTGTCTGAGAAGGATAAGAAGATATTCATGATAGTTATACCATTGCAGGTTTGTATTTTTTAAGGATATACATTACATTTAGAATCTGTAATTCCTTGATTTCCTGATATATACTTATTTTAGCTGAGTTTTGTAAACTAATATTACATAAATAAATTTCATCATATAGTCCCTCTGTTTATTCCATAACACTGGTCCTTTCTTGAAAAGCCTACAATACTTGGATGAGAAATTACCAGTCTTATATGCAGTCCAAAGATCATTACTGTGCTTACTGCACTGGACCGTAGCCTGAGTCAGAAGTAACCATTCCACATCCTCACATGTTATTACTGTAAGGTCCCTGTTGGTATTATTCTTCCAGCTGTCCCCCAAGTAGTCTTGCCCCTTGTCGTTTTCTGATTGAAGCTCACACGCCTCTCAATTTTTCCTCATGCATGCTACATGTCTGAAAAATAAAAATTGTGAAGCCTCTCATTATATGAATTTTTGTATCCTCCTATATTTCCTTTGTTATATCTCCAAGTATTGTCCTCATCTTTAATTCTGAATCTCCTATCAGTAGGTTAACACATTATGGTTTCCAAGCTGTTGGGTTTTCTCTGAAGGGAAGGACACTGAACAAAAACCAAGAGTTGTAAATAATTAATCTTTTGACATATTTTATTCTGAGCATTGAAATATAAATCAGTAGTAAAGTATTTTTATTTGTATTTGTATTATTATTTCAAATTCATGTTTACAAATTTGATTTTGGTATGAACTCAATTTGCTGGTGCTGCTCTTGGATTGTTATGATATGCACTGAATGTTCCAGGTATTGGCTAATGTGGCTGACATAATCATTGAAGAATCAGAAGAGGGCGCAGTTGAACATCGCACTTGGCGCAATGTATTTATACTGGTGGATTTCTTGTGCTGTGGAGCCATCCTGTTCCCCATTGTTTGGTGAGCTTACAACTTATTAGAAGGACATACGCTAACTTCACCTCACGTCATAAAAATGAGGACGTTCATTAGTCAGACAGTTTTTGGTTTGCAGGGATTCACTCCACAGTTTAGATATTAATAGTTCTCATAAAAATATAATGTCTTGGCTGTTTATTATGCAGATGAAAAATCAAGTGATTTAATTAAGTGGAAATTTTTACCACTGAAGCTAATAGTCCAGTTTCAGCACCTAACTCAGTGTAAAAACAATAACACTTATTTTTAGTTAAATTTTTGGCTTCAGTATCTAAACAAACATTCATAAAGTAGTAACACAAAAAGTGACAGAAAAATAGATGTGATATATACTGAGGATATTAGTGAAATTATATCAGTTGATTGTTATTTACAGTTTACATTCGTATATTTATATTGGTCAAGTGTGTATATTCATGAATTGCTTCTAGCTGTTCATTCATGGACTTTTAATAGCTAACAGTTTGCCAAAATACAAAAGTAATGTAATTATTTTTGCAGATTAGTAATATGTATAGGCCCTCCAGACAAATTCTGCAGGTTCTGAAACTGAAAAATTTCAGCTGTAATTTGTAGCTTTTAGCTGTCTTCAGCTTGGAAGTCTCCACTCTCCATGACAAATGTGATTGGACATGTCTAATATTATCTTCTGTTGGCTTCATATTCCACTTAGCAAGAAAATATAATTCAAACCAGGGATATGTCTGGTTATATTGACTATACATCTGTTTAGGCCTTCAGAACAAGTAAATATGCTGCCGGTCTGATCCAATGTCGAAATTGGAAAATGGCCGCAAATAATAGATCTTCATGGAGGCAGAAAATTGAGGAGGCCAAGGCCCGATATGGGCTGTAGAGCCATTGGATGATGATGATGATGAACAAGTAAATTGGTATTGGTAGTGCATTGCAAGTAAAAGCCCATAAAACAGCATCTTCAGTTCTTTGTTATAGGGCATGACAAAAGTAAGACTCTGTATTTTAAAATGTTTTAGAAATTTGACTCATATCATAAGGTGTGTCTCCACTTCTGTTCCGTAGGTCAATCAGGCATCTTCAGGAAGCCTCACATACAGATAGTAAAGCGGCCATCATCATGCGGA